AAATGTCCATCAGCAATAACATAGATGAGTAGCACATCAAAAGCTGTGTAGAGCAGGGTGTGGTAGCACATATCTGTAATCCCTGAGGCAGGAGGATTGCAAGTTCAAGGTCTGCCTCAGCAGTTTAGCAAGGTCCTAAGCCATTTAGTGAGACCCTATCTCAAAATAAAAATTAAAAAAAGGTATAGGGATGTGGCTACTGGTTAAGCACCCCTGGATTCAATTCCTGGTACTGAAAGGAAGGAAAGAAGGAAGGAAGGAAGGAAGGAAGGAAGGAAGGAAAGAAGGGAGCGAGGGAGGGAAAGAGGGAGGGAGGGAAGGAAAAGCTATGCAGCAGTAACATTGAATAAACTATAATTATGTACAACATGGGTGAATCTCACAAAACATAATATTGAGTAAAAGAAGCCAGACACAGAAGAGAGCATAGTGAATGATTCCATTTACATCAAGTTGAAAAGCAAGTCTTTACTGTTAGAAGTCAGTGTGGTAGTTATTCTCAGGAGGGGAATAATAACTTTGAGAGTACAGTTGGCCCTCCTTATGTGTGGGATCCATATCTAGAGATTCAACCAATTGTAGATCTGAAATATTAGGGGAAAATTATATCCATAGTGAATAGACTTTTGTTCTTGTTTTCTAAACAATACAGTATAACAGCCATTTACATAATATTTCCATGTTGTTAGATATTATAAGTAATCTAGGCATGATTTAGAGGATATGGAGGATGTCTAGGTTATATGCAAATTATACACCATTTTATTTGAGCCTTGAACATCCAAGGATTTTGGTATCCTTAGAGTCCTGGAACCAGTCAGTTCCCTCAGATACTGAGGGATGACTGTATTTGTAATATTCTATTCCTTGACACCTGAGGGTTCAATTTGTGAAAATGCTTTGAGCTATATGCTTTTTCCTTACATATGTTATGTTGTATACTTTTCTGTATATATGTTACATATCAGTAAGATGTTATGTAACTCAGAATACTGGAGTTCCTGGCTATACATCCCAAAGCCTGATGGATGACCTTAAGTCATACCACTGAATTGCACTACCACCACCACTAAGCTGAAATTTCACATTGCACCACTGGCCACTGCTACATTGTTGTTGCTGGGGCACTTGATCCAGCTGCAGCTACTCCCTGGCCCCCAGGGTACTTCTTCCATTCCTGGCTCCATTCTTAGGCTTCTTTGTGTGTGTATATATACCTTTGGTTAGATAGAGCCTAACATAAGTTCTTCTTGCTGTAAGGGAAGCTGGGAAAGCAAGTATCCAATGTTTTCAGATTCTATAGTTGGCAGTGATATTGATCAAAAATTATAACCAGGTTGTGGGGGAAGAAGCTGTTTCAGATTTTGGGCAGCCAAAAAGAGGAACATCTTTGAGGTGAACATTTAAGTCAGCAGAATAAAGTAGATTTCAAGTGTTAGAAACAATAGAAGCCTAGGGGTAGAAGTTGAATGGAGTTAAGATATTTGGGTCCAGGGGAAACAGGTTTAACTGGATTAAAGGGTGTGTTCTGGGAAAGTGGTGTGAGAGACATTGAAGAAATAGGGTGTGACAGGATTAAGGATTGCTTTGAAAGTCAGGCAGAGGAATTTAAATTTAATATGGGAATTTTGGAAGCAGTAAAAAGTTTTGAACCGGAGAATGTTCTGAGAGGAAATTGTATTTAAGGACTAAATTGTATTTAAGGACTAACCTCAACCTGTGTCTTCTGCTTCAGAAAGCTTCAATTTTCCCACCTCAGGAAATCTGGCAGCACTTTCAGGGGCAGCTAGGAGGCATCTATAAATAATTTAGGAGTGGAGTAGTAGATTGGGAGTAGAAATAAAAGGCAAATATTGGATTTAAGAGAGAATTTGAAGCTAGAAGCTGTTTCCTCAAATGCCTGAGTCCTGAGCCCAAGTGCCTGGCCCTGCCTTTCACTTAGAGGAAGCCTGTTTGGAGGAAAAAGTAAGAAGAATGCGTTTTAGTTTTGGAATTATTAAGTTTGAGATGATGGATATTTGTGCAAAAAATGATTCCTGTGCAGTTGGAGATGGAGAACAAGAGTGAAAAAAAATCATTCTTTCAGAGAAAGGTGTGAAAGGATTGAAACTGTGTGTTGGGTCTCTTGGGCACATTTCTCTTTTCTTTGTCATGGGCCCCCAGGTTAGATAGACTAACTTGAATTTTATTTCAGGTGATAAATGTGAACCTCAACCTGTGTCTTCTGCTTCAGAAAGCTTCAATTTTCCCACCTCAGGATAGCTTGATCCTATTACTATTTTACATAATTTTCTGTTACTCTAATATCTTTTTACAGAAGATGATTAATACATGAGATGTTTTTCTTGCTTGTTTTTTAAAATATTTATTTAGTTGTAGATGAACACACAGTATTTTTATTTATTTTTTATGCAGTGCTGAGTATTGAACCCAGTGCCTCACACATGCAAGGCAAGCACTTTACCCCTGAGCTACAGCCCCAGCCATTCTTGGTTATTATTTTTTTTTTGGTGGACACGATGTCTTTATTTTATATTTATTTGGTGCTGAGGATCGAACCCAGTGCTTCACATATGCTAGGTGAGCGTACTACCTCTGAGCCATAATCCCAGCCCATTGGTTATTTTTAATAGCTTTGAATGCTATAAATATGAGAAGAATGTGCTAAATTATTTATTTTTTATTTTATTTAGCAAACATAAAACATAATGGACTACCATATGATGTTTTCATACATGTATAGATTGTATAATGTTTAAATCAGGTTAAACATTTTTTTTTTTTTGGTACTAGGGATTGGACCCAAGTGCACTTAACCACTAAGCCACATCCCCATCCCTTTTTTGTATTTTATTTAGTTGCTTAGGTCCTTACTAACTTGTTGAGGCTGGCTTTGATCCTCCTGCCTCCGCTAGCATGCACTACCATGCCCAGCCTCAGGTTAAACATATCTATCTCCTTAAACACCTATTGTTTTTTTATGATGAAAGCTCAAAATAATTTCTTCTAGCTTCTTTTAACATGCAGTATATTATTGTTGTCTATAGTTCCCCTACTATGCAGCAGCAGACCAGAGCTTCTTACTTCTATCTAACTGTAACTTAGTACCCATTGTTTAACACACCAGAGGCTGTTTAACACAGCCTCTGGTAACCACCATTCTACTCCTAGAACACAACAAAAAAGGAAAACAATATTGCTAATGAGCATAGATGCAGAAATTCTCAATAAAATACCTGCAAAGCAAATCCAACAACATATCAAAAAGGTCATTCATCATGCTCAAGTGGGATTTATCCTAGGGATGCAGGATGGCTGAAAGGTGAGGGACTTCAATGTAGACAGAGAGAGAGAACATATGAAAAACAAACCTACAGATGATTAGAAAAGATTGTAATTACCAGCACTTTGGGCTGCAGGGTATGCCTAAGGTGTGTATGCCAGCTCCATTTCCATATTGTACTTAGAAAAGAATGAAGGGTAAACAACAACAACAAAAAAAAAAACAAAGGGATAACATAAAAAAAGAGAGTGGATAGAAAACCTATTTGGGTCTCACAAGTCTTTTTGAGCCTAAGCCAATACATTTAGTCACAGTCAGTAACCACAAGCTTTGGCATACTATTTGGGCTTGCTAAGGCAGCCAGGTTTCCTGAGCATGACGGTAGGCTTTTGTATACAGCTTGAAAGCTATTGCTGAGGCATGCCTTCTTGGTATTCCTCTGAGGATTTTATTCTCTCTGGTCTAGAACATGTCCCTACCTGTAGATGACACTGGATTGCTCAGCTGTCACTAAAGGGTGTGTAGCCATTTTAATAAGAAATAGGTTACCCCTTGGGTAATGTGTGAGACAGTGAAGAAAAAAAATCTTCAAATGGTTGCCCACTATTTACGCTACAGGTGTGTTTGCCTGGAATATTTCCCCTTTCTGCATTAGTAATTTGAGGCCTTGGGCTCTTCAGTTTAGCAGGGAATGTTTCTATGAAGATTAGAGAAAGTTAGCTGTTGGCTGAAAATTCCCAAACCCTTTCTTTATCAATGGCTCTGCAAGTTTTTTTCTGCCTAAAGAAGATGCATATGGTAGGGGTGCAGTTCAGTGGTAGAGCACTTGCCTGTCATGCATGAGGCCCTGGGTCCCATCCCCAGCACTGCAGAAAAAGGAAAAAAAAAGTAGCAAATAGCAGATTGAGAATTTAGGAAGTAATTTTGAGGTCATGTCAAAAGATTTATCAGACCTTTCCATTTTAAAGTGAAAGTGATGAACTCCACATTTATAAAGATTAACCTTTTTATGAATCTAACAGGCCTTTGCATTACTCCTTCTTTTGGTCATACAATAGCTTAGAAGAGCTATCCCATATCTAAATCACATCAGAATCAAATCATTTGGGAAGAGATCTGTGTGCCCTAGGGCATGTAGCTTGCAACAGACTATGGAGCATGGAGTCTATCATTATTGCAGAGAAAATTTCACCAGCTGATTTGAGAGAAGCAGGAATTCAACATCCCCTTCAGAGGCTTCCCCTTACTTCATTTACTTCAAAATCCCCCAAAAGGCAAACTATAATTGCCTAAGACAGAACTAGCAAGGTGCACAGATGAATATGGAAATGATTATTAGGAGGCAGAAGGTGAATATCACCAGTCTGTACTCAAGCATCCCAAGTCTAGCAACCATTCTCTGGGAAGGGAAATGCTACTTTTTTGTGTGTGTGTTTGTGGTATTGGGGACTGAATCCAGGGCCTTGTGCATGCGAGGCAAGCACTCTACCAACAGAGCTATATCCCCAGCCTGGAAATGCTACTTCTATTAAAAATTTATAAAGCAAAGCAATCACCAGGATACTATATATATTTAAAAATACTTTGTTTCATTTTAGAGCTGGTTGAACTTAAGTAGTACCTAGAACTTGTTTTATTTTATATATATGTGTGTGTATATACATATATCTATATGTATATATAGTAGTATAATTAAATTTTTTTTCAATAAATACAGGAGCTGACCAGTCTCATGCCTTGGAATGTAATTTGACAGATTCATCAAATGCTACTTGCCTTTATGCGAAGTGGCAGATGAATTTCACAGTAACGTATGAAACTACAAACAAAACTTATGTAAGTAAATATTTTAGTTTTATAGAAGAAATTTAATTCTGACTCCTTTTTTATTCCTTAAGTACATTTATACAAATAAGGTTTCATGTTAACTGACCTAACACTTAAACTCTCTGGAGTATTTTTTAACATTATACTCTTGTAGACTCTTGTAGGTATTCTGTTTAGTGTTGGAATTCATATTTCTTCTAATCAATTAGTTCTTTTTTTTTTTTTTTGGTACCAGGGATTGAACTCAGGGGCACTCAACCACTGAGCCACATCTGCAGCCCTATTTTGTATTTTATTTAGAGACAGGGTCTTACTGAGTTGCTTAGCACCTCACTGTTGCTGAGGCTGGCTTTGAACCTGGGATCCTCTTGTCTCAGCCTCCTGAGTGTCTGGGATTACAGGCGTGCACCACTGTGCTCAGTTTAATCAATTAGTTCTTTAGAGAGTTTTTCTTAGAGATGGTTAAGTGCAAATGATCTGAAGCTACATGATATTCAGGTCTAATTACCTCTGTAATATATTTAAAATATGCTAGAATTAAAGCTTGCCCTTTTTAAAATCTTTTTTTAAAATATCTTTATTTATTTTTATTTGGTGCAGAGGATCAAACCCATGCTTCACACGTGCTTTACCACTGAGTTATAGCCCCAGCCCCTAAAGCTTGCCCTTTTTAAAAAATAGCTTGATATTAAAATCTTCCTTTTGGGGAATTTATTCTTAACCCTTTTGTCTTATTTTCTTTTGTTAAGGTTCTACCTACTTTAAAGCCTAATTGAAAAAAATCAGCTGAGGAGCTGCAGGTAAAGCTCAGTGGTGAACATGTATGTGGCTGAGGGTTCCATCCCCAGCACTGCCAAACAAACAAACAAAATCAGCTAGAGAACAATAGATCAGGACAGTTTTCCTTTTCTCTTTAGACATACAGGAGACTGAAGTGTAGCTAAAAATCTGAGACTAATTTATGGGGAACACCAGGCAAAGGGCAACCTGGCCATGAAGAATGTGTGACATAGACTGAAGTGGCACACCCAGCTAGTCTCCCCATGTTTGGTGTTCACTGTAACCTGTTCCTCACCCCTAAATTTCTCTTTCTACTAGAAAACGGTAAACATTTCAGACCTAAGCAATGTGACATATGAGGGAAGCACTTGTGGAGATGAGCAGAATGGTCCCAGAATAGCAGTGCAATTTGGATCTGGTTTTTCTTGGATTGTAAACTTCACCAAACATGCTCCTGATTATTTCATCGACACCATCTCGTTTTCCTACAATATTCATAATCACACAACATTTCCTGATGCTGAACATAAAGGTAACTTTAAGAATTGGATTTGTGTCATGTTGTCTTGCTTTTAATTAATAATGTAAGTAACTTAAAAACCATCATTATGCATGTCTTTCTTCCTAACTAGAATGGAAACGTCATGTTCTTTATCTCCTCCTGTAAGCTCATGCATAGCACAGTGTTAGACATAGTAATGATGTTGACTGCATGGCTTGAGAGCTTTACTCTGTACAGTTTATTACCCTGTATTACTTGTGACTTCTCACTTAATCCTTAACAAGAACCTTGGGAAGTTGATATTATCAAAGTTTTACAGGTAAAGGGATCAAGGTTTGATGACATTGACTTTCCCAAAGGTTATAAATCTAGTAGATGGGCCAGCAGCTGGTGTTCAAACCAAAGTCTGTCCAGCTGCAGAATTTGTACACTTATTATTTATTTTATTAAGTAGTAGGCCCTGAACAAATGTTGAATAAATGAGAAAATCCTTTGCTGATAACTATTTTAAATATGTTCAAATTCAGTAACCTGAAGCAAGAGGAAATGCCTCATCTGTAGATGTTTTCACCATTTAAAATGACTAAAAATTAAATGGGATTAAAGTTAAAATGACAAAAGTCAACATTTGCTGCCATTTTGAGACAATTTCAAGTCAAAATGAACTTGGGAAAGTATTGGAAATTAGGTTTATTCTTGTAATTCCCATAACTTAAATGCATATTAAAACATTTTGAAGACATGTATAGTGGAGATTTTAATTTTATTGGGAATATAATTCTCTCCTTTCTTCCCCTCTATTGAGGTTATCATGGTGTTTGTAGTGGCATAGCTCTTCCCACAGATAGTGTTTCATTCTGACTTCACAAACAGAGGCAGATAGGCATTAGTCGCTCAGACATGTGATTTTTTTTAATCTTTATTTTTATTTATTAATGTGGTGCTGAGGATTGAACCCAGGGCCTCACGCATGCTAGGCAAGCACTTTACCACTGAGCTACAACCCCAGCCCAGTCTGGGGATTAATAACTCATATGGACTTACAAATCTCAAAAAAACTATATTTTAAAGATCTAGAAGTGTGTGAGTTCACAGAAAACGTGGGAGATAGCACAGACTAAGACTTAAAAAAATTAAATCCTGGTTTTCTTTTTACTGATATCTTAGTTTGAGAGAATAACTAAGGCAGATTATTGGCTATGTTATTTATTTATCTTAGTGTTCTGCATTGTTTTTGAGAAGTCAGATAAAATTTGTCCCTCATTTCAAGGAACTTAGAAACCAGTGGAGCTGAATTGTGTTCCCAGGTTATATGAATTTGGAAAGCATTGAGCTCAGTCTGATTTTTTAAAATCTGTTCATGTTTTTTGTTTGAGGGGAGAGAGTGTTCATCAATCTTTTCTGACAATGTGAGGCAAGCTTTAGATACTCTCTCAGAAAAGAAAAAGTGCACAGTAAATTCTGCATATGGCATATAGTCCCTGAACCCATCCATGTGGCCAAGAGTGCCAGCTTCAAAAATGTTCTTATCAGTGGTCCTGATTAGGAGCAGAGAGGAAAGAAGAGGCCATTAAGCAATAGAGGAGTGAGAAGGCTGGGTGGCCAAGTAGGACCTGAGCTGAAACTGAGCTAACAGTCAAATTTGAGTAAGCAGAGGATTTTGAGCAGGATGTTTCCAGCAGGGGGAAGCATAGTATGTGCAACAGTAATTGGAGAGCTGCCTGATTAAAATAGAGGCTGTGTGTGTAGCAGAAGGAAAACAAAGTTGGCCAGTGCAGTGGGTCTAAATTACAGGGGGCCGTGGAAGCCAGGGAAAGACATTTAGCTTGATGGGCTAGGCACTGGGGAACCATTGTAGGTTTTTAAAGCCAGAGAAAGATATAACAAAAGCAGAGAGAGTAGTTTATAAAGAATATTCTACAGGATTAATTCAGAAATGAGGAGACTGAAGGCAGCAGTGCCAGCTTCAGAGGCTGTTACAGTTATCAAAGGATGATGTAATAAATGCCTGTGCCACGTAGGCAGTGGTTAAAGGAGAGGTTTAGTCTGATATATTTGGACAGAAAAATTGACATGCTAACATCTATCTCCCCCTTTCATTTTAAAGAAGGGAGGGATTTTTAATTATGATATCTGAAACTTGTTGGAATTTTAAATGGCTTCCTTAAATGCACTGTTAGTAATTGTTTTTAAAATAATTGAGCGTTTTGAAGTTCTAACTTATTTTTAGGCATCTGATAATTGAAGTGACTTTGAAGCTGTTATTTTCTTTTTAAAAACATTTCTTCATGATTAAAATTTAAAAAATACAGAGAATAATTTAACAGACCCACAGGTACTCATTACCCATAATTAATAAATGCTGTGTTTCAGTGTTTGCTTCATTTTATTTATTTAAAGAGACAAAATTTTACAGATACATTTGAGGTTTCCTTTGTCCTCCCTCCCCAACTCCATTTTTCTCCTTGCCTGCTAGGAGGCAGCACTCTCACAACTTTGAGATGTAAACTTCTTGTCTTTGTGCTTATATTTTACTGCATCTGTGCCTATTCATAAATAATACATAGTTTTAAAAACTTATAGTTTCATAGTGTAACCCCAATATATCTACAACTTTTTTTTTACTCATTTGTTTTTGAGATCTGTTTTATATGCAGCCAGTTCACATATCTATTCATTTTTGTTAACAGTGAGAAACAGTTTTGGGAAAAATCTTCTAGTTCATTGGTTTAACAATTACTTTTACTATTAGCTAGTGCCAAGGCAGCTACATGATGGAGAGGTACAGAAGGCAGCCTATATTAAGGGCCTTGAATGGAAATATCTTCCTTTCTTGCTACTTCTTCAAAAGAAATGAAGCCATATAGATTTATATGATTGTAGTTTTTTTTTTTTTTGGATGGGGGGACTGAGATTGAACTCAGAGGTGAACTCAGGGGTGCTTTACCACTCACTGAGTTACATCCCCATTCCTTTTTTTGTTTTATTTTGAGGCAGGTTCTCACTAAGTTTCTCAGGGCCTTGCTAAGTTGCTGAGACTAGCCTTGAACGTGGAATCCTCTTGCTTCCTGAGTCATTGGGAATACAGGCGGGCCCCACTGTATTGTTGTCTTTTGAAATTCTACTCTAGCTATTCTAATAAAACCTGAATAGAATGGTTGCAATGTCACTTTCACCTTCTGAAGATTTCCTGAAATGGAACAGTCTTTAGATTCCATCTAGAAAGAAGCTCTGTAAGCCCATAAAAGTTGATATTACTTTGGGATAGTAGCCCAAAAGTAAGGATTTTACTGTAAAAATCTGTATTAATTCATCTCTCTTTCTTCTATATCTATAGTCAATAAGTCCTTTTAATTCTACCTTAGATAGGTACTTTCAATTAGATCCCCTTGTTTTCTTCCTACTCCCCACCTTACCTTTCACCTCCCATACCATTGGCCTTCTAACTGGTTTTCCTCTTAGGTGGCTTCCCTTAAAAGTTTTCTGCTCAGCCTGTCCCCTACAAATTTGCTCTCTCCCTTAAAATAAATTATATGTGTCCTAGTTACTGCTGAAATTAGCTCTCCATTGCCAATAGAGAAAGTCTGTACTGTCCTTAGTTGGTAGAAGATTCCTCAAAATGAGACCACATGCAACTTGTCTTTTCTTCTTAGCCTCCATTACTTCTTCCTTATTCCCTATGTTTCAGCTACAGTGAACTTGTCATTGCCTTCAACATATTGTTATTCCCTTCAACATCCCTTTGTTTACTTCATGCATGAAGTGAGAAGAAAATTATTACAAATATATTTATATTATCACTCTTTTCTTGCCTTCTTGGAAACAGTCATTGTTAATCTTGTTTTGTAGGAATTATTACCATTGACAATCATGTGGCATTAAAAGTTCCATTGAATGACATCTTTAGATGCAATAGTTTGATAACTATAGAAAAGAATAATGTCACTCAGCACATTTGGAATGTTCTTGTACAAGCTTTTGTCCAAAATGGCACGGTGAGCACAAAAGGTGAGTACTTAAAGTATGTTTTTCTATACTAGGATCCTAATTTAAGAGTGGTATTAAATATATTCCATGCTTGTATAATTACATCAAAATGAATTCTACTGTCATGTATAACTAAGAAGAATCAATAAAATAAAAAAGTAGTATATCGGGTGGTATTCATTAAGGTCATTATCTCAAAGCATTTATATTTTAAGACTTGTGGCTTACACAAGACCATAAATTTTTTTTTGTAAATAATAGCAGTTTTTGTGGAATTTTTTAAAACTTTAAAAAAAATTTTTTTTTGGTCGTAGGTGGACACAATACCTTTATTTATTTATTTTTATGTGGTGCTGAGGATTGAACCCAGGGCCTTGCATGTGCTAGGCGAGTGCTCTACTGCTGAGCTACAACCCGAGCCCCTCTTGTGGAATTTAAAATGTAAAGTTTATGATATACACGTGGAATGATCTTTCAGCAAGTCTTTTTTTTTTTTTAATGTGGTGTTGTGGGTCAAAACCAGAATCTCATGCTAGGCATGTGCTCTACCATTGAGCTATATACATTACCAGCTCTGGAATGGTCTTTCAAAAGGCTCTACCTATAATGTTTTCAGCTGATAAAACCTGATTTTTTTGTTTGATCATATCCTCAAATAGCTTAATCATCTACTCTTTAGCACGTTCCAAGACAAAAGCTTGAAAATTAGATTTTTATTTTCTAACCTTGACTAAAAACACTTTTGTTTATTGTCTTTTGTTTGTTGATTGGTTTTAGAATATCTGTGTGATGAAGACAAACATTCCACAACAGTGGCACCCATCATTCACACCACTGTGCCATCTCCTACTCCAACACCCACTCCAAAGGAAAATCCCTATGTGGGAAACTATTCGGTTCGTGATGGTAATAGCACTTGTCTACTGGCTACCATGGGGCTGCAGCTGAACATCACTCAAGATAAGGTATGACTGTCTATTTTTATCATTACAGTCTTTTTGTGTTTCCTTCCAAATACTGTGTATCCTATTGTCAGCCCAAGAGTAGTGTTACTAGAATAATTCAGTTTTAAATATTCAATGTTGACTTTGAGTTTTGATTGGTTACTGTGAACATGAAGAGTTAATAATTCTTGTAAAGCATTGACTTGGTCAGCAGAAAAACCTATCAGTTTATAGGATTCTTTGGAGTTTAGATTCTGTTTTCCCTTAGTAGGTCAAAGTACACATAGCTGAGTTGTGTTTCAGTAGCTTTAAAATAGCTCAGTGGTAGAACATTTGCCTAGAATGCTTGAGGCCCTGGGTTCCATCCCCAGCACCACCAAAAAATAAACTATAACTCCTTCATACTTTTATCTGAAATGTACAGAAGCTTGTTGTTCAGGAGTAGTGCAGCTTTCTGTTTTTTCCAGCTATTTGATGACTCAGATCGTAAAGACACTTTCATGATAGCTTTTCTAGTTGCAGTGTTCCACTTGGGCTCCAGAGGGAGTGCCAGTGAACAAATCTTGTTTCCAGGATCCTGTGATTGAAAGAAACTAGACAGATGGCTCTTGTGCTCCGTAAAAATGTGTGTTTTCATTTGGCTCATTACTGAGGAAGCTTCCTTCTTGTTGTTGTTGTTGTTGTTTTTTAAGTCATCTGAGTCATAGCTTGAGGGTTTGTGCCAAGTTTGTTTGAAAGTAAGACACCATGAATTTAAGTATCCAAACAAAGGAGGTTTTGTTCTGCATTGAAGTTGGTCTTATTAGAGTGTAAGGCTTTGCTGTCAGATTTTATAGTTAATCAGTACCTCCCCTTTCTTCTTTCCCTGAAGGTTTCTTCAGTCATTAACATTAACCCCAATTCAACTGGTGTCACTGGCAGCTGCCATCCTCAGACTGCTCAGCTTAGGCTAAACAGCAGCAACATTAAGTATCTTGACTTCGTCTTTGCTGTCGTAAGTAACAGATTTTTTCTAAAGTTGGGTTCATTCTCTGAGAAACACATCTGAAAGTTTAAACATTTGTGTATGGGGGTGTTCATGTCTTGTTTTATTTTCCATTTCAACACTATTAATTATACAGTGTAGTCCATTGATCCCTCTTCATTCCTCAAAGTCTGCTTGGTGTTCTGTGGCTGGACTCTTTTATTACTATTCACCAAGAATGGCCTTTCTATTGTATAGTCTCTAGGTAGGAGCAAGAATTAACTCACATTAAAAGAAAACTCTCTAATCTCTCCACATATAAATAATTTTCAGGATAATATTTTTTTCTCTTTTTGGTTAGATAACCCTCATGTTTGTGTATTATAATATTTTCAGCCTTTTGGAAGTAATGCCATTTGTAATAGTGTCAATAATAATAATAATAATACATTTGTTGAATATGATAAGGCCTCTGTATCTGTGGGTACAGCTTTGATGGATTCACCAACCTTGGGTCACCAATATTAAGAAAGAAGGGCTGGGGTATAGCTCAGTGGTAGAGTGCTTGCCTAGCATGTGTGAGGCCCTGGATTTCACCCAGTACTACCAAAAATAGAAAAAAAGAGTTATATCTGTACTGAACATGTACAGACTTATGTTCTTGTCACTAATCCCTAAGCAAGATAGTGTAACGATTACTTACATAGCATTTACATTACATTAGGTATTATTAGTAATTTAGAAGTGATTTAAAGTATGTAGGAGGATGTGTGTAGGCTATATGCAAATACTACACCATTTTATAAAAAGGACTTAAACAAATTCAAATTTTGGTATCTGTTGCTGGTCCTGGAACCAATCCTATGAGAATATCAATACTAAGGGATGACTGTACTTCCTATATATAAGAATTGTGTAAGGGTACATATTAACTCATTAAATCAGGATAGCTTAAAATGCCAGCATTAAGTTTGTGTTGTTGTTCACATTTGTATGAAAAGCTGAATCCTGAACAGAAGGTTTCAGGTTACGTATATCTGTCCTACTTCTTGCTAGAATTAATTAGCCATTGGGGACCTTTATTTCTACCTTCTCAGAAGCAATTGTTATCCTCATAATATTTCTGTGAGGGGATATATCTGTATACATATTGTAGCAAATGGAAATGAGCAATAGGGGATAGCTACAGATAAGGGAAAATGAACCACCAATAGTTCTCAAAATAAGAGCTATTATATAATTGGATAAAAACAAGTTCTGCTTTGTAATCAGATTACTGATATATAACATCTGATATGTAGATGAGAGGTATGTTGTAATTTCATATCTGAACTTGGTATCTTGAGTCTAAAGTATTTTTTTCTATAGAATATGTGCTGAGTAATTGAAGATTATATTAGACAATTATATTTTAGAAAGGATTATAAAATTTTTCTTTTTCTTACATTCTAATAATTCCTCTATGACTAGTGAGTCACTGTTAAAACTGTCAGGTAGGCTAGGGTGTTGCTCAGTGGTAGAGCATTGCCTAGCATACATGAGGCCCTGGGTTCCATTTCCAGCACTGTAAAATTAAAAAGAAGAAAGTGTACAAATGTCTAAAACTTGTTTTCTTCAGGCTGAGGGTATAGCTCAGTGGTAGAGTACTTGCCTAATGTGCGAGGCCCTGGGTTCCATCCTTAGCAACATACATACATATACACACACATACACACGCACCAAAAAAAAAAAAAAAAACACCAAAAACTTATCCTCTTCAGTATGGTAAGAGCAGACCTCCCTAGATATATTCTGTTATCTCATAGAAGTTATGGTTAATAAAAATGAGGAAAGTAATATTTGGGGTCATTCCCTTTTGAGTGATACATCTGACCACTGTGGTAGGCTCTTTAACGGAAAATGGCTTCTTCTGATCTTACATGGAAATGTTTAATATTAATAATTATAATATTTGTTTTGCCCTGTAGGCTATTTTAAAATAGAATCCAGCCAGGCAAGGGAGTGAATACCTATAATCCCAGCTATCCTAGAGGCTGAAGCAGGAGGATCACAAAAGTTTGAGGCCAGCCTGCACAATTCAGCAAGACCCTTTCTCCAAATGAAAAAAATAAAAATGGCTAGGAATGTAGCACAGTGGTAGAGCATTCTATGTTCAATCTCTAATTTCACACATACACACAGGGATAATTAGAACAAATAAAACAAAAACAGGGCTGGGGACATAGTTCAGTTGGTAGAGTGCTTGCCTCGCATGCACAAGGCCCTGGGTTCAATCCCTAATACCACACACACACACACACACACACACACACACACAAAGTCTAGGAGTGTAGTTTAGTGGTAGAGCATATGCCTAGTATGCACAAGGTCTTGGTTCCATTTCTAGTACTACAAAAAAAACTAATAAAATTAAATTAAAATCTTAAAATGTAGTAACAATTCCAGCTATCTGGGTAATTGAGGTAAGAGATCACAAGTTCAAGGCCCACCTGGGCAACTTAGCAAGACCCTACCTGAAAATAAAATTTTAAAAAAGGTCTGAGGATATAGCTCACTGATAGAGCTTGCCTAGCATGCATGGGCCATGAGTTCGATTCCCAGCACCAACACCAAAAGAAAAAAAAAATGTAATATCAAGATATCAAACAAACAAAAGAGAATAGCAGGCCTGGGGATATAGCTCAGCTGGTAGAGTGCTTGCTTTGCATATATCAAGGCCAAGGGTTCAATCCCCAGCATGAGAGAGAGAGAGAGAAAGAGAGAGAGAGAGAGAAGGAAGCAGTAGAAAGGAAAGAATAGAGCTGGAGTGATTGAAAGGCAGAGAGTCCAGTAAGAGACTGTCATGATCTGGGATAGAAGTGGTGTGGACTCTGAAATCAAGATGAATCACATTGTGTATCTAACCACATGACTACTCTGGTAGTCCACAAGTTGGAAATTAAGTGAAGAGAAAAAGAGTTTTGCCACTTTGAGTTCTCTTTGCTTAGTTGCAGTTTATTATACTAGCCCAGGTCTAATCCATGGTATCCTCTTCTCTGTATTACTCCTAGATCACTTTTCTTCTGTAGATATTAACTTTACCTGTAGACAGTTGTGATATGTTGATTAATTGGATGTTCTCTTTCAAACAGAAAAATGAAAACCGATTCTATCTGAAGGAAGTGAATGTCAGCTTGAATTTGGCTAATGGCTCTGGTAAGCAAAGCATTGGTCTAAGGGAGAAGAGTGTCAGTTATACTGAAGGACTAGTAACTATACACGTCTTATTATCAAAGAGTGCCTTATTCAGTGGAACCTTGTAAAAAGTATACCTTGACCACCACTTAAAATATGTAACTTTGAATATTTGAGTTGTGATATTCTATATGTTGCTATATCTCATCTTTTCAAACATGGTAGTTAATAGTTAAGGATGCAAATGATTTTTAAGCTGTAGAAGCATCTATAGAAAGATGAGGGAGGTAGTTTATGACTGTAATCCCAGCTATTCATGTGGCTGAGTCAATAATATTGCAAGTTTAAGGCCAAATTGGGCAACCTAATAAGACCTCTGTCAAAATTAAAGAGAAAGGGCTAAGGGTTGGGGAGGTAGCTCAGTGGTAGAGCACTTGCCTGGCATATCTGAGGCCCTAGGTTAAAATCTCAGTACTGCCAAAAGAAAAAAAAAGTAGTGGTGGTAAGACTTGCTTTTTGTTGGTAGACCATGTTTCCTAAGCTCCCATACTTTACTAAAAAACACTGAGAACTGTCCAGTTTTGATGTTGATAGGATAAGAAGTTACTAACCTGTATTTTTTTCCTGGAAAGTTTTCAGCATTGCAAATAACAACCTTAGCTACTGGGATGCTCCTCTGGGAAGTTCTTATATGTGCCACAAAGAGCAGACTGTTTCAGTATCTAGAACATTTCAGATAAATACCTTTGAATTAAGAGTTCAGCCTTTCAATGTGATGGAAGGAAAGTATTCTACAGGTAAGAATCAAGCAAGTTTTATTAATAATTATGTTCTTACATTGACTGATAGGTGGCTTTTTCTTTGAGTCATGGAAATTTATATATTTAAATAGAGAAATACGAACTCTCCTCTTCTTGACTCTATGATGTAGAGTTCTTATGGCAATGGACGAGTTGTATAACTATATTTGGCCCATCATTTTGCTCAAGCTAAATGTTTTTTTTTTATGATCTGAAAACTATTTGGAGCTTTAAGTGAGCTTACTTAAAATATAGTTGTGTCTTGGTTTCAGTTTGGAAGGGATGGTACCTTGGAGCAGCAGCTTTGAGTATCTTATCTGCCTTCTTGGGGCCATCTTCTCATTGGAAACATTTTCCTACCTGAATGAAAGCAGTTTGGTCTGATCTCAAGAAACAAAAATAAAGAGGGATAGCAAAGCCTCAAATATTGCGAACTATGTTATTAGCAGCCAGAATTATCTGACGAGTCCTCAAAGCAAGTACTAGTGCAAATGAGGCTTTTTGAAAATCAACTCAGGGCTAATGATGGCATTTATAAGATTTTTGATGAAAGTTCTTTGAAGGACTTTCATTATAACATGTTCATGTAAATGTGAAAGATGTATTTGGCATTCACAAGATGAAAATTTGCATAAAGAAAACAAAGTACACAAAATTCCTTAAGTAACTTGTCCTTTTAAACCAATTACTTAAAATTGGAGGTTTGTGCATCACAGATTTGCTGAGCAGAGCTATTCCAGTCATCAATATCCTTTTAAACAATTAATTCTATGGTTTAGAAGGAAATGTAGAAGCAGTGCTTAAAAGTGAATATGCTGGATAGGGATGTAGTTCAGTGGTTAAGCACCCCTGGGTTCAATCCCTGAAACAAACAAACAAACAAACAAGTGAATATGCTGTGAGCCATTCAATTACTTCTTCAAAGGTGATGAATACCTCGTCAATAAATGGGCTCTTCACCCTGCCATTCTTGTGAATAGGGGTGTTAATCACAACTTTAAGAGTTATTTTTAAGAATTCATTTTTTTCTTTTGTTGGTTTTACTTATGTACTTCATTTTTTGATCCTTTAGTAACTTTATTTTTGGAGTCTTAATCTAGCTCCCCTATATCTTCACTATAATTTTAGATCCAGATTTGTGTTTAGAATTTAAAATCTTTTTCAGTGTTATTATCAGTTAAGGTCTATTTATCTAGTCAGTTATAATATAGATGAGCTGTTCTTTTTCTTTAAATTTCTGGTTTTTATGTGCATAGAATTTAAAATGTCACCCAAAGAGGTATATAGCATTTAATACTATTAAATGCATAATTTATTTGTGGAACTAGGTTCTTGGCTGTGGGTACCTATAAATATAGCACATAGGTAATACTTGAGTGTATATGGGGAGGAAATAGAATTGCAATAAGGTAGAAGAGTGTTGATTGGATTTTATTGGATCAGACTATTCTCCAGAAATAGAAAAATAGCCCCTGTAGGCTGCTAGCCTGGACCAAATTGATAAGAAAGGTAGTAACCACACTCAGGTTAGTAAGAGGTCCCAGTTTCTTGACTCATGTAGCCACTAAATCATATATTCTCAATCAGAGATCTGAAAACTTTTTCTTAAAAGATCCAGACAGTATTTTTTAGGCTTTGGGGTCACATTGTCTTTGTCTCAACTATTCAATCTGTCATTATAACATGAAAACAGCCATAGGTAATACATAAACAGCTGAGTGTGACTGTGCTCCAATAATGCTTTTTTTAATGGACACTAAAATTTGAATTTCATGCAACTTTCATGTGTCACAGAATATATGTCTCTCCCACAACCATTTAGAATTATAAATATGATTTTTAGCTCTTGGGCCAGATTTGGTTATGAACTGTAGTTGACTGACCCAAATATAGAGGAACTCTAAAGCCAGCCTGGTTCTTCTAATCTTGTAATACCCTGCTATCCTGTTTCCCCCAGAGACAATCACAGTACCACTGGGAGTCTAATCTGGCTATGTAGAAATAGGCTAAATTAGCTCTCTTAATTTCTGATAGAGTGATACTCCTGTTTTGGAAAGAACTTGGAATGTAAACAAATACACAACCATACACACATGTATGTATACCGTGTAATCCAGTGTGTGTTTATAGACGTAAATGAATTTATACATATTCATGTGTATGAATTCATATATACACATAAGCATAAATATAAAAAGACAAATTTTAGGATTTTAGTTTTAGAATAGCCCATAATTTTCTGTAGCTTTATCATAAAAATATACCTGTCATAATTAAAATTGATTTTGTAAGCATTTCTGACTTTTGAATCAACATCTTTTACTTTTGAACATTCTTTTTTTGATTATACTCATTATTTGTTACACACTTTTTCTCACCTACAGCCCAGGAATGTTCGCTGGATGATGACACCATTCTAATACCAATTATAGTTGGTGCTGGTCTTTCAGGCTTGATTATCGTTATAGTGATTGCTTACCTAATTGGCAGAAGAAAAAGTTATGCTGGATATCAGACTCTGTAACACTAATCCACATGTGATCTCTGTTATCAAACAATAAAGCAAGTACAAGTTCCAACCTGCAATACTGTTCAATTTAAGGTATATTTAGTTGTAGTCCTGCTCTTAGAATGGGTGGTATGAGAGATTTTTGAACTTAAACAAAAAAATTCTATAAACTATAAATTAGCCGTGTGATATTGGTTTCCCAACCAAGGAATAGTTATTTCTATAGTAAAAGACACATGCAAAATCACCTGTATTATAGGTTCTATTTTACTGTCTTGAATTAGTATTTCAGTGTTTTCACTTATGTATATCTGACTAGAAATATATAGCTTAGGAAAAACAATTTTTGAAAAGATATCTTTTCCTTGCATGAGGTTGAGTTGGGACAACATATTCTATAGTGGATTTGTACTTGCTCCTTTTGCTTTTTTTTTTGTGATTTTGTTTGCAGGTTAACTTAGCTACTTTGGCATTGCTGCATATTTGATCCATGAAGAGATGCTAGTAGATTTGAACAGGGCCTAGTATATTATGTTCTTACAAATGAATGCTTTTCTCATGCTTTTTGAATACATTTGTACTTAATGTGGCTGTAATGACAAAAGACACAAAAGCTTTTTCAATTTTAGAATAGGTGTTAATCTTATTGTTTAATGCTTTTTTTTTTTTTCAAAAAACTGGACGTTTCAATCTTTTAAATTGCAAGATGCAAGACTATTCCAACTGGGCATTTCAATCTATTTTTTAGGTGCTTTAAAGATAATTGCTAGGCAGTGCCAATTGAGGGCATTAGTCTTTTGTACCCGTAAATTGGCCTCTACATGTAGTACTAAAATTAATGTAGATTTCTCTTTAACCTTCCAGTCTTCCTTGTTGGTGGTAATGTATTTTATTCTTTTCTTTTTCTCAAAGAAGAAATGCCAGTATGTCCTAAAACCTAGATCAAGTGCACTTACACTTAGAAAATAACTTGTACTCAACCCAAAAGTCTTGGTCTTCCCTCAGTCTATTAAAATGTTATTCATTTCCAGTTTGCATTGATTGCTACAACATTTAGTAATTTGGCTTTTACATTTAAATGGTTCTGTGCTAATCAAAACTTACATTGTTATTGTTCATTATGGTAGAATCATTATTAATTCATATACTTTGTATTCAGTTTTGTGATGGGAGAGATGTACCAATTGTCTATTTACTGTGCACCACCTAATGCTTATGTAAGAAAGCAAACTTTTTCAGCATATATAGTTAACGCATCAAGTATTCCTTGCAGATTCTGCACGCATATGCGTGAGCACGCTCACACACACACACACAACACACAACACACACACACACACACATTGGTATGGCTGAGCAAATTATTTTTTAAAATATCAACGTGCAGCCATATGTGCAAGGTTCCTGTGGTTATTTGGGGAGGGCAGATTATATGCCTCCCCATCAGTAGGAAATGAAGAACTAGTACTGGGATTACTATTCAATGTTGGAGTGCCTGCCTGCATGCACAGGGCCTTGGGTTCTACACATAGTACTGCAAAGACAAAAACAAATAAAAAAATGAGGAACTATCTGGGTTCCAAAATTTTGATGTTGAATACTTCAGTACATACATGCACGCATATATAGATAATTGCATGTTAGCATGTTTATGTCTGTAACTGTCATTAGAATGATAAATAATTTCTCTCACTTAAATTTGCTGTCTGTTTAGCCTGAAAATCTTACTGGCTCAGAATCAGATTCCTGATTGACTTAACCCCTCTCCTAGAGCTACTTTGAGCTGAATTGCCAGCTTAAATTGCTTCCTAAAGACTAAATCTGATTTTTAAAAATTATTTTTTTATTTGAAATATGTTTTAGTATAAAATTGTTAATCTTATAAGAGTGGATAATGCTTTTAAGAATGTGGGCCTTAGAGATTTTTCATGAGTCAAAACAGCAGTTTTAAAAACAAAAGCAAAAACAAAAACTTAGAAGCACAAGTGGGTGGCATTGGCTTAATGCTGTTAATGTTTCTAAAAGTTTCTACCTTTAGATTATATATCTGATTCATATTAAAATACCTCTAATAAGCACTGTTTTATAGAAAATCTGACTTAAGTGAATATTTTTGTATTCTACATGGGCCAGTTTATATTCTGCTATTTACACTATGATTTCCTATAGCCACACGTTTTTGTAGTGTTGTTGTTTTGTTTTACTGGGTTTGCACCTTGATGCTAAAATTCTATTTGGTTTGGGGTGTTTTTCATGTTAAAGCATTTGTATAAAGAAACTGGTCCATGTAAATACTTTCCATGTTTTTTTCTCAATGTTTAAACCACTAGTTATTGTATGGTATCTCTCTTTAGATATTTGCCTGTTTGCTCAACATTGCTTCTAAAACAATAAAGATTCTTTTATTTCTTAAGGAAATTTGCTCACATTTTTTCCCGTTGGTTAAAGTCAAGATTTTATATACTACACAATCGCAATTTCTTTCAAA